CATCCCCACCCAAAGCAACGGGAGTAGATTGGTGGGCTCGGGCCAAAGAGCTATTGAGATTAAAAGACAGTTGGACTGCCTTGTCTTCCTTTCTGTTACAGATTTTTAATTGGAAGGAATCGCCCGTAGATGTGATTCAGCTATTCTTTTCCTTAGTCACACGAACACATCAGAGATTCTGGAAACTGACGTCCACAGAAAGATCTGGAACTTTATCCTACAAGGCATGTCTGTGTTTTATTAAATTATGAATTGAAATATTGATGACAAGTCTGGGAGATTGTTGTCAATTTATTCCACAAAGAGACACTTGATTTTTGAAAGGGTAGGTTTGGGACTCCGAATCATTCAATATAGAATGTTATCATAAGAAATACTGAATGAGATTGCTTCATTAGTCACTTGTGTTTTCTCCCGAAATACAGACTTGGGATTAACTGATTTTATTATTTGCTTTTATGAAGATAGATATTGTACATTTCGGCATAGGAAGCTACAGAGTTAACGTTTCTGGTATGAACCCAGATGTCACCGCCGGCTAGGAGTGTGACCTTGACTAAATTACCATATCTCTTTTTGGCCTCGGTATCAGTATAAAATAAACCTAGTAGCCAAGCAGAGTGGCACATTGCCCAAGCTTACTTGGGAGGCAGGATACAGCCAGCATCCGATACATCATTTTTTAAAATTATGATAATAGTACTAAACGGTCTATGGTGGCTGGCTCACATTTGTGATCATAACAGTGAGGAGACAGAAGCAGGAGGATTGCCACAAGTTCGAGGCCGACACGGTGCACATAGTAAGACCCTATCTTAAAATAATTAATAAGCCTGACATAGTAATGCCCACCTTTAACATCAGCACTCCCGTGGCAGAGGCATGTGGGTCTCATCAGTTCAAGACAGCCTGATCTCTACAGTGAATTACAGGCAGACAGAGCTTCATAGAGAAACCCTGTCTCAAAAAATAAATAAAAAGCAAATGAGAAACTTGGATAGTAGCATAGGCCTATAATTCCAGCCTGGAATGGCTGTGGAATGAGAATCGAAAGTATAAGGGCTGCCTGGCAACTCAAAAGTTTTTGTTTTTGTTTTATTTTGATTTTCCAGACAGGGTTTCTCTGTGTAACAGCCCTGGCTGTCCTGGAACTCACTTTGTAGACCAGGCTGGCCTTGAATTCACAGAGATCTGCCTGCCTGTGTCTCCAGAGTATTGAGATTAAAGATGTGCACCACCACTGCCAGTCTAACTCAAAAGTCTTTAAATTTTTCATTTCTAAGAGGGCAAAAACACAACTCAGTAGTAGGGTACTCGCTGGAAGAGAGAGAGAGAGAAAGAGAGAGAGAGAGAGAGAAAGAGAGAGAGAGAGAGAGAGAGTGTGTGTGTGTGTGTGTGTGTGTGTGTGTGTGTTCATCTTATTGATTATTGAATAAAGGGCTCGGCTGCTTTTGTTGGAAAGATTTATCGTAACAATGTTGGGATAGACTTATTTGTAAATTAAAAGTTGCACAGTCGTAATGCATCCTTCCATGGTAAGGTCTCATAGGTAACTCATGTTACCATTATTGTCTAGTACCAAAGCTAGTCTCTCTGTGTTGGGATGAGTTGTATTTATCTCTGGAAATGCTTGAAAAAAAAAATGAGCCAATGGCCTGAAGAAATTGGGTTTTTTCCTTCAGCAACACAAGAAACTAAATCAAATAATCTTTAGAAGGTCATGTCCAGGGTTTCAGTTTTAGGCTTCTCTAGTCAGAAATATGGACAGAAGGAGGCACAAGAGCTTGGTGTGATTACTTACATCCAAACCCAGCCAATAAGCATTCAATAAACTAGAGCATCCTTATTCTAAGGATCCACCCAGCTTTCATTTTTATCTTTTTTGGTTTGTTTTTTTGGTTTTTGGTTTGTTTTGTTTTTGTTTTTTCCGAGGCAGGGTTTCTCCATGGCTTTGGAGGCTATCCTGGAACTAGCTCTTGTAGACCAGGCAAGTCTCGAACTCACAAGATCCCTGCCTCTGCTTTCCGAGTGCTAGGATTAAAGGCGTGCACCACCAACGCCTGGCACTCATTTTTATCTTTTAAAATATTTAATATTGCCTGATACTGTGCTTAATATTTAGTCCACTAAGCAAATCAGTTCTTTGCTTTTTTTAATGAATGCTCTAAAAATCAACAAAATTGCTTGGGAGCACATGCTAAACACCAATTTAATACACATAGGTAGCCCTAACTCCTGTAGACCTTGAGATCACAGGTGTTTATACTTAGAAAGATATAAAACTTGTGTATTGCATAATTATGTACAAAGTTAAAATCAGATTTTATTTTTATAGCAATACTTCAAAAAGCAATAAGTTTCCTTTGGGGAAGATATTAAACTTTTCTCCCTGGATTATAATTTTTTTCTGAACAGAAAACTGTTATGTGCTTAACTTGACCTGAAGCAATTGTGTTACAGTTCTGTGTTTTTTTTTTCAGTTAGTTGCTAACACTGTATATCCATTTTAATAAACACTTGTCTACTGAAATGGAGAATTAGGACATCTGTGCTATAAATTATAATTCATAAGGACTTACCTAGAACCTATACCTACTCAGGAAACATTTACTAATAGTTATTTTGAATCGTGTTTCTTGGGGGGGGAAATAACATGTAGTTTCCTTAGTACAATCTAACAATCTCTCCATTCATCTGAATTACAAATATGTTTTTCCAGCAGACATTTTCAAAATGGAAACATTTGTTTCAATTGCTGCAGAAAAATTAGTGTTACTTTAAACAATTCTGCAAATAAGCTTACTGGAAGAAACACTCCAAAAATATTGCTACTGAGGAGAAAACAAAATGACTTTGTTTGTTTTGTTTTTCGAGACAGGGTTTCTCTGTGTAACTGCCCTAGCTGTCCTGGAACTCACTTTATAGATGAAGATGGCCTCTTAACTCAATGAGATCTGCCTGCCTCTGCCTCTGGGATTAAAGGCATGCACCACCACTACCAGGCCAAAATGACTTCTAAAATTTAAAAAGAGAAAAAAATTAAGTAAGTAAAGTGCTTGCTCTCAAACATGAGGACCTGAGTTTGATGCCCCAAGACCCTGCTAAAAATCAAGTGGGATGTTACCCTCCACACACATGTACAAGCAAACTCCCACTTGTGAACATAAACCTGAACACATAAAATAAAAGAAAAATCCCTCACATAAAACAACAACAAACCAGCCGGGCGGTGGTGGCGTATGCCTTTAATCCCAGCACTCAGGAGGCAGAGGCAGGTGGATCTCTGTGAGTTTGAGACCAGCCTGGTCTACAAGAGCTAGTTCCAGGACAGCCTCCAAAGCCACAGAGAAACCCTGAATCAGAAAAAAAAAAAAAAAAAAAACAACCCTTTATTTTGAGCCCTCTATAATTTATAAGAAATATCCAGTGTTGTATGTGAAAACCATAGAGAAAGAAACCAACAAATGACAAGAAGTCTGGAGCATTCGAGTTATATAAGTTAAAGTCCATCTAGGAGAGAACTATAACCCAACTGACAAGGCACAGGTATGTCAACGTGGGTGGATCCAACTAGACCAGTCATTCTTCTCAGTTTCATGACATCGTCATGTGTCATGAACATTGGGAGGACATAAAAACAAATTAAAGGGAATTAATAGAGTCAGACTCTCAAGTCAGTTGTACAAGGAGTATGCAGAAGGAATATTTATAATCCAAAACCTTTAAAATATATATAGGAAAATAAACTTGGGTCAGGGAAAAAGGTTCAGTAGATAAAAGCATTTGAGGAGACAACGGGAGTTACATCCCCAGATCCATTGGTGAAAGGAGAAAACTAAATCCCACAAGTTGTCCTATGACCTACACATACACACTGTGGCATAATCATGCCCACAATGACCTATGCACAATAATAATTGAAAAAGAAAATTTAAAGTACTAATGTAAACAATACAAAAGGCTATATGGGATTCATTAGGATGTCAATGCACAGGCCAAGCACAGAGTATCTTTCCTTTCCCTTTATACCTCTTAGTGTGTACCTAATAAAGGATGAACTCTTACCTGAAGAACTTAAAAAAGTCTTTGTGACTTGGGAATTTTAGTTCTCATTTTTGGCAGCATATATACTAACATTGAAACAATATGGAGAAAATTAGCACGGCCCCTATGCAATGATGATACACAAGTTCATAAAGCATTCCATATTTTAAAATATATATTAAAATAGGTCATACCCCGCCAGAAAAACATGAAGACGCAGAGTGACTCCGTTAAGGGAAAGTGCCAAGATGATGGGCTTTCTGCTGCCAAGCAGAGGGACTCGGAGATCATACAGCAGAAGCAGAAAAAGGCAAATGAGAAGAAGGAGGAATCCAAGTAGCTTTGCGGCTTCGTGTCCAACCCTCTTGTCCTACGCCTGTGTGCCTGGAGCCAGTCCCACCATGCTCGAGTTTCTTCCTGTAGTGCTCACAGGTCCCAGCACTGATGGCATTCCCTTTGCCCTGAGTCTGCAGCAGGTTCCTTTTGTGCTTCTCCTCAGTTAGCCTCTCTCCCCTTGGGCCACTCCTGGGGGTGAGGGGGTTACCCCTTCCCAGTGTTTTATATTCCTGTGGGCCATACCTCAAAGTATTAAAAGTAGCTTTGTTTTGTTTTGTTTTGTTTTGTTTGTTTGTTTTTGAGACAGGGTTTCTCTGTGGCTTTGGAGGCTGTCCTGGAACTAGCTCTTGTAGACCAGGCTGGTCTCGAACTCACAGAGATCCACCTGCCTCTGCCTCCCGAGTGCTGGGATTAAAGGTGTACGCCACCAATGCCTGGCTTTAAAAGTAGCTTTGTAAAAATAATAATAATAAAATGTTAAAATAGAATAGGTTTTTGAAAATGGCTAGGGAGGAACTAGAGTTGGTAAAATGCTTATCTAGAATGCTAGAAACCCTTGGGTCAATTCCCAGCACTTGGAAGCACTTGACCATAGTTGAAACCCTCAAGAGGTAGAGACAGGAGAATCATGAGTTCAAGGTCAGCCTCAGCCATACAGTGAGTTAGAAGGCAGCCAGGTTTCCTGCGACCCTGTCTCCAAACATCAAAAAAAATGGAGGATATGCACATTTTGACCCTGCCTTTTGATTTTAAGAATTTTTTTTAAAGTCATATTCAGGGCTGGAGAGTTGGCTCAGCAGTTAAAAGTATTTGCTCTTGCAGAGGACCTAGGTTCAATCCCCAGCACCACATGGTGACTCGAAACTATCTGTAATTCCAGTTCCAGGGCATCCAGTGCCATCTTCTGGCCTCTTTGGGCACCAAGCATGCACACTGTGCACAGACATACATGCAGACAGAAAACTCATACATATAAAATAAAATGACCCACCAGGTGGTGGTGGCACATGCCTTTAATCCCAGCACTTGGAAGGCAGAGGCAGGCAGGTCTCTGAGATCAAGGCCAGCTTTGTGTACAGAGTGAGTTCCAGGGCAGCCAGGACTACACAGAGAAACCCTGTCTCTAAAAACCTGGAAAAAAAATAATGTTTTAATAGTGTTATTTCACCTTTTATTTGTGACAAATTCCAAATAGATAATATATATTATATATACAATAATATATAATATACAATAGTATAGTCCATATATATAATACATATATATATATATACTATACCAGTATTACAGAAACATATAATACTAAACATTTAATTGTGAAACTTCATGTACCAAGCTTGACAGTTACAAAGTAGTCTTGGCAGATTTTTTTGTCCTCTGCCCTTGCACACATTTCCTCTCCACATTATTTTACATGTTATATATTCTATTATTTCACATGCTAATAATTTAGTATGTTATTTTAAGTCAAAACCAGCAAACTTGTTTACTTATCTAAGGTAAGAGCTCACCATGTAGCCCAAAGCTAGCCGGGAACACATATGATCTTCCTACCTCAGACTCCCTAGTGCTGGTGTTGAGGTTATTTGTCTTCACACCAGTTAGCTCTTTTTAAAAAATAACAAGAAAATCAATATACCATTATCAGGGCTAAAAGAGCAACAATTCCTTAAGGAAAATTTGAATTGCTCTTTGTTCTTTGCCCCACTAAAGTCATGGAGTAATTGGAAGTCATGGAGAAATGGGGAAAGTGGTACAGTTACAAAGTCCTGAATATTAGAACTACCCTGAAATAATTGAAAGCTGCTGACTATCTCCTTTCATGGATATATTAAAAGATTAATATAGTTTAGCTGGGCATGGAGGCACACACCTACAATCCCAGCATACAGGAGGCACAGGCAGGTGGATCTCTGTGAGCTCAAGCTTGGTCTACAGAGTGATTTCCAGGACAGCCAGCCCTATACAGAGAAACCCCACCTCAAAAAATAAATTAAGAAAAAGAATGAGTGTTTAGATAAAATTTGCAAAGTAATAAATTCAACCTCCCAACACCGAATAAATCAAACATGGTGACACACACCTGTAATCCCAATATTTAAGAGGTGGAAACAGGAAGATCAGAAGTTCAAAGTCATCTTCGGTGACAGCTAGAGTTGGAGAGTAGCCTGGGCTATTTGAGACCTTGTCTCAAAACCAAGAAAAAAAACAGCAAGCAAACAAAAATCCTAATAAGAAAAACAAAGCTACTGAAACAAACATAGGCCAGGCAGTGGTGGCACATGCCTGTAATCCCAGCACTTGGGAGGCAGAGGCAGGTGGATCTCTGAATTTGAAGCCAGCCGGGTCTACAGAGAGAGTTCCAGGCCAGCCAAGGCTACACAGAGAAACCTTGTCTCGGAAAAAGAAAAGAAAAGAAAAGAAAAGAAAAGAAAAGAAAAGAAAAGAAAAGAAAAGAAAAGAAAAGAAAAGAAAAGAAAAGAAAAGAAAAGAAAAGAAAAGAAAAGAAAAGAAAAGAAAAGAAAAGAAAAGAAAAGAAAAGAAAAGAAAAGAAAAGAAAAGAAAAGAAAAGAAAAGAAAAGAAAGGAATTGGAAAGAGTAATTCAACTAATAGAAATTGATCAAAAAATAAATTGGACACTTGCTTTGATAGATTTATTTGTCCCTGCCCTAAACATTCACCTGAGTACCACACAGACAAAAATACCTGGATTTGTTTTGTTTTGCTTT